AACGCACTTAAAACTGAAAGGAAAGTTACTTCTTAATAGAGGGTTTCTGGGCAGTGCTGCCAGATAAAAAAAAACTCATTCAGCTCTAGGACAACACAAAAAGCGCTAGATTTCATGAAAACAGCGCTTTAAAAAAGCCCTATATTTCGCGCTAAATTAACTACAAACAAAGTTTGTGTTTTTTTATATAATCATAATAAAGAAAACAACATGAAGTTTTTTTTCTGGCAATATTTTTTTGATGTATCAATACTTCGCAGGACATCGACTTATAATTATGGCAATTGCTGTCAACAGTAGCTAGTACTGTACGAACAATAAAAATGTCATTAATTGTTTTAAAATGCAATGTATTTCGCAACTTAGTTTCAGATGTCAGCATCTGATTGCGGTTGCTACACAGTTTCTTTGTGTTATAACTTCTAAGTAACTTAGCTGTGCTCTAAGCAACTGACTGAAACTGAATAAAGCAAAATAAAAGCGTTGCCAAAAGCATGAACGAAATTTAATAAAGGGGATTTCCCCGCTTATAGTCGTCGGTAAAAAAATCAAGTTGATCATCCTAAAGGGGAAGCCAGGAGATCCATAGCACAGGGTATCCTAGTTTGGACTCGTCTCCCATGCTCTTTGTTTTGTGGAAAAAATATGTTTGAAAAAGATAAACTGCAATGTACTATTTGTGGGAAAAATAATAAAGGTCATTATTATTATTATCGTTAATATGGACTAACAGTGCTGCTATAAAAGAGTTAATAACCCGCTAGTCGCTAAAATATTGAAATGTGTGTTAAAAACACTAAAAAGCGCTGGATTAAGCTAGGTGCTAAAATTTCGAAATGCGCGCTATACATTCCAAAAAAGCGCTGAATCTAGTTCCCAAAGCGCTAAAATGGCAGTATTGATTTTGCGTATATTATAAATACAATATCACGACATTTCGTTGTAAAATTTTTATTTTTGGTCGGGTTCCGTTGTATGGCTTCGATGGATACAAATTTCTTCAGTAAGTCTCAATACGATTCATCGGCGAAAAATCTCAACACAGCAATTCAGAAAAGTTTGTAATTTGTGCAACTCCATCTATTACGTCCTTTGTGTGAGAAAACATCCTTTTCAAATCTCTTTTTGTGTTTTAAATATAAATATATTAAATATTATGGAACGTTTTTTTTTTACACACAAATCTTTTTATTACTATTTCTGAGATTTTATGCCGCCATTGAACAAATTCGAACCTACATTTCAAAATAATAATCATTACTTTCGATAGAATTAACCAATTTTAATAAAACAAAGATTAAATGTAACTCGAAGATACGCATTATGATTTTCTTAACGATTTCTTTGAAAATAAAAGATGTTTACTTTAGACGTGATGCGTTCATATAATAACAGACAAATAGACAGACAGACAATTCTAAAAATTATGAAATGTTCTTATTTAATTATTTTCAGTTCCCCATAATGATTTTAGCCACCAAAATATATATACAATATACAGAAAGAGACACAACATGTTATCATCATTTTTATTATATGTATATATTTAAAGAGAGATGGCGCTGCTAACATCAATTCTACAAATAAAAGAGATTAATTGACGCGATTGATACATTATATAAAACGCAAGAGGACTTATAAATCAGTGCCTGCACAGTAAGCAAAAAATAAAGTTTGACTCTCGCCAAAACCAACGCAATTGTTAATAGCTCTTTTAAAATTTGATTTACCACATAGAGTACTCGGCGGTAAAGAATAAATTGAGTTTGTCAACACGCAGTAGGGCAGCGAGTAATATAATAAAGATTAGTAGTAAATATGAAAACTCTTCATCAACAGGAAAAAACCACATTGCATTTGCAATTGCATTACATTTTACAAAACCACCATCTATCGAAGAAATGGGTTAACTATTGTGCTTCAGATTTATATTTTTGTATAATATATTTAATACGTTCTTTAATACTTTTGTTTACTGCGTTTTAGATATACATAATTATATCATTATTTTACATAATTTAACTATGATTTATGATATGATATTAGTTTAAAATGCACTTGATGACTCAAACAAAGCCACCGTTGAGCAAATTCGTACCTATACTTCCCTACCCATACTTCAGAATATTTATCATAACTTTTGATAGAATGAACTGATTTTAATGAAATAAAGACTAAATGTAACCCGAAGATACACTTTATAATTTCCTTAACAATTCTTATGATATAAATTAGTACTTTATACGTGATACGTTTACAAACAAACAGACAGACAGACAGACAGACAGACAGACAGAAAATTCTAAAAATGGTAAAAATGTATTTAATTACTTATTTTTAGTACCCCTCAATCATTTTTATTACAAAAATATAAAATGTACAGACATCTGCTATTTACAGTTTTATTATATGTATAGATTAGTTACCCGACGAAAACAGAGAGGTGTTATATATTTGTAGTGTGTATCTGTGTGTCTGTTTGTGACATGATAACTCCTGAACGGATGAACCGATTTTGATTAATTTTTTTTTGTCTGAAATGCATCTTAATCGAGAGAATTCTTAGCTATATTACAAGAAAACCTGTTCAGTCGTTTAAAGTTCACCAGCTCTTTTTGTTTCGGGGATTTTCAAATTTTTTAATTTAAGTTATATAATATAATTACGGGTGACAAACGAGCACATAGTCCACCTAGTAGTAAGTGGAAGTTGTGACCCGTAGACATCGACATTTTCTATCCTCTCTCATTAACTAAGAATGAAACTGAAGATGCATTGTAATCCGTGAGGAATAAAGAGTAATGCTTCGTAACCAGTAAAAAGTTTCCGGTTCTCTACACTCACCATACGAAACAGCATTCTTCTGCTGTTTCACGCTGGTATTCTGTGAGAACATGGTCCTACCACGATAGAGCCGTCCCATTGTGCCCAACTCATAACACCTAATTTGAAAAAAAAAAAACATAATCGCGATTATAGAGTTTTGATTAGTAAATTTATACGATAATCATTAGTATAAGTAGAATTAAGTGAAATGTCGACTCGGCAGCGCAGAGGTTAATCGTTTGGTTATGGCGCTGCAGGGCCTCAGCATCGAATCCCGGCACGGTGTAATTTATTGTTTGTACTACCTAAAAATAACTGTTTTGGGTCTGATGATGTCTTTCTGTCTGATGATCTGATGTTTGTACTTGCAAAGCTGCATTTTATGTTGTATGTAAATCACCTCCACATGTAATACCACTAGGGTAACGTTTTCATTTAAAAAAAAATTGCACTATTAAGGTCAATTTACAAAATACAATAACGACGCTATCTCTCCAACGGTTGCAGAACGGTACATGATAATGCTAAGTGCGAATATTTCGCGGTATGTGAACCCGGCATGCGTAATTGGAATGGTTTAGCTTGAATCAACCAGTGACGTACTGACGTCAGTTATCTGTCCGAACTGCGCACACTCATCGAATTGTATTAAACGACTTAGGCATGCCCATAAATTTGTTTCGATATGAAGTGAGTAAACATTTCGAGGACATATACTCGTACTACGTATTACTACTTCCTCATAAGTCGAGTTCATATCACGAGTTCTGTGTTGATTTACATGAAGATATAGTATTGTATCAGCGAATATGTAAATACGCATAATATGTTGATATTGATAGGATGTAGCAGATACCTTCGATCAATGTAAAATAGTGTTATTAATATAGTAAACTTTTTTTATTTAATACTGGATAGAATTGGCCTATTACTTTTAAAGTAAAAACTAGGAAAATCTTGTAAATTCTGATAATATGCCTGACCTATACACAAATCAATGATTGAAAACAATCTCCTGACAATCGCTAGGCGAAGCGATCATAAAAAATTTTAATAATAAAATTTGCTGCACTTGCACTGGCCACTGGGCCATCTGTGGTCTTTAAACGTAAGTATTTTTTATGTGCCAGCGTTTTTCTAGTGTTCATAACACCTACGCGCTACTGGTATATATCCTTCATCGAATTGTTTTTCATGCAAAATGGATCCACATGTATATCACGATTACGGATCCAAGTGAACAGAACACTCAACATGGAGTGGTACAATTTTAGTTTCAGGTACAAATACAAGTCCGAAGGAGTCAGATCTGTTGAATGCTGGGGTATGTTTGGCCAAAAATGTAAACATTGATATATTACATTACATTGATGTCTCACAAGGATATTATGCTATATTAATGTGAACACATTGAATAAAACTAATTTTACAGATTTTTTTAGTCAAAAAATAAACGTGATAAAAGCCCGTAAGATTAGTTTTATATAATACTAGCTGGTACCTGGCGCAGAAGAAATGATTGTGGTAGTAATATCGTTTTAAATTTGGAAGAGTTATATTATTAGGAATGACAATGCACTCATTGATGTTGAATGATATATAACTTACAAATATGTCGGTACTATACGCGCGCCACCTACTGTAAGTTAATTGTACTACGCCCATAACAACCCATACGTACTCCAACCAAAATATAGCTGGCTTGGCTCTACCAAGTATAAAATAATAATAAACACGTATTGTCAAAAATTTGGGGAACTATGAAAACCTTAGTTAACACTTTCATTCGAAGTCAGATGTTATGTGGGCAAGAAGCCAACTACAGCCACTACAGTCCCAACGATACTAACGTCACTCAATTGTTTTGCCTTCCCGCTACCCCTCCACTAACACTTAAACTTTATGGAATGGTATTAAAGTTCAAATTGACTTTTAAGTATTATTACGATTATTTTGTATGGAAATATAGAAAAGTGTTGTTTTTAGACTTTTTCAGGCAGTTTTTTAAATTTTTCTCTCCATAAGAACCATCTTCGTACTTCAAGGAATATAAAAAAAGAAATAGCGAAATCGGTTCAGCTGCTCTCGAGATTTGCACTTAGCAACACATTCAGCGATTCCTTTTTATATTATAGATAAATAAGTAACAATCATTAGGTAGTAAATTAACTTACCTTGTGTCTTAGTGGGATAGAGTTCGATGTCGTTGAAGAGTCCCTGCACGCGGTGGGCGGGCGCCGGCTGGTCGGGCGGGCCGATGCGGCTCTCCCAGGCATTCGCCACCTCCCTGGAAAAAAACCTAGTTGCAGTGATAATACAACATCTTACACACTAAGTACACATTTATTGTTCCAATGCACATGGGATCAAACTACAGACAGAGCTAATGAGTTTTTATGTGTGAGCTTTATACTCATACTCGTAGCAGTTAATGTTTCCTGCATAATTATAACACAGGTTATAGCTTTTATAGATAGCTCAGTAGTGCAGTGGCCGCACTTCATAAGTATTGTATGACCTACCAATAATTGTTCCGCCTCTGAATGTTTATCGTAATTCAATTTATTTACTTTTTATACCGAACTTACGTTACGTATGTTAATTACAAGATGCAGGAGAAATTGTTATTTTAAAAGTAAAAATACTATCATGACTTTGAGACAAAATTCTTACTATCATACTATATCAACATTTCTAAATTTAACTGATTTTAATTTGAAGCCACAAAACAATTATATCATTCATATTGTTATGCGTCATATACCTACATGCACCATAACTTTTAATTGTGGCGCAATCGAACATAAAAAAGGTCCAAAAATTATAAAGAAAAGAAAACTATGTTAAAGCGTTTCTGGTGTACAACATAACATTATATAATAATATTATTTTCCCTTATTAAAAAAAAGAATTATATTTACTGTTATATTTCGACGAAAAAATGTAAGTAATACTTTTTTTCACTTTCGGCTCTCCGTAGACAAAACAAAATATTTCCGAGTCATGTTACTAAGTAAGGCACTGTCGGCCGACGTCAACCATTCCCACGTGAACCCGAACGCCAGTGCGTAGCGAGGCTTCGTGTGACAGCTGCTCCTCTTGAATTACCATCCGGACTCCGCGCCCACGGCGGCGACCAGTGTAACAGAACTCTTACTCATAATCACTTCGCAAATATAGATAAGGATTTTGCGACACTACACCTTTCGTTGTAATTCTATACCTAACTGAAGATTAACAAAAGATATTTGAGTGCAGCTATAGATGGTGTTTCCCTGTAGCATAAGCAACTACTGACGCAAGAAGAATACAAAATGTTCTCACAGCTGCTTTTACAACGGCGATAAATTCCCGATAATCGATTGCTAACCACTCTTTTTTTATTGGGTAAGGGAGCGAGCACACAGTCCACCTGTTGGTAAGTGGAATTTTTGGCCCATAGACATCTTCATCTATCCTCATTTGCGAAACAAAATGCAGATGCGTTGTCAGACGTGAGGAGTAAGACGGAATGCCTCTTTTACAGAATAAAGGGTCACCGGTTCTCTACACTCAACATACGAAACACAGCAGCATTAAGTTGCTGTTTTACGCTGGTATTCTGTGTGAGCGTGGTCCTTCCCCGATCAAGCCGACCCATTCGTGCTACAACTATACAATTAATAGAGCTGCAGCATGGCTCTACCACGTTAAGCAACTGCACTCCATCCGTCCTACCGTCCTAACATCGGGAAAGGGTAAGCCTTTCCCGATGTTAAACTTAATTATGTTATAGGAACAGAAGTTAGGCTGCAGTGTCAGAGATGCAGGAAGATACGCAATACCAACTCACTAAGTAATGATATTAATAATAATATTTTTACTATATAGAATAGGGGGACTAAAGAGCATACATTCCACCTGATATTAAGTGGACGCAGACATCTACATATATCCTCAATTAAGATTTAAAATGCTGATGCGTTCTCACCGCTGAAGTAAAAGATGGAATACCATGTTTACAGTGAAAAGGATCCCCGGTTCTCTAGTCACGGTTCTCAGCATTAGGCTGCTATTTTTAGCTGGTATTCTGTGAGACCGTAGGCTTTCCCCGACCGAGCCGATCCATTCGTGCTGCAACCTGCAACCGTAATATATTATGTAGCTGCAGCGTGGCTCTACCACGTTAGATGACTTGTGACAAAATACAAGCCAAGGAAACGTTTATGTCTAATAATTAAGATTAAGATAGTGATTGACACTGTTAGTAACTCTACAATTAAGATAAACATTTGGCAAGGAGGCTAAGAAAGTCAGCATGAATAGTAAATACTGGCTATATTTTTTGCATTAATTTGTTGCTTTTCTGTCGACTTCCAAAAAGGAAACGGTACTCAATTCGACTGTATGTTTTTTTTATGTGTGGTTACCTCTTAACTTTTTACTGGGTAAGCCGATTTCGATGATTCTTTTTTTATTTGAAAGCTGATACCTTCGTGTGGTCCCATATGAATTTGATTAAGGTCAGACCAATAGTTTTGAGCTATTCTTAATAACTTATATTGAAGTCGGCTGTACAAAATTTTAAATTTTTAATTATTTCATATGAAGTTGTCGCCAGGTGGCCACCTATTTAGGTGGATTACTAGCTCGTTTTCCATTATAACTACTATTACATTACTACTATAATATATAGAATATAAAAGAATTGAATGATATTTTATTCAATAATACTTATTGAAAGTATTTTTTTTTATTTACCACTGGTTCGGAAATTACCTCTGTCCTGGGAAGAAGCAGAAAGAAACCCAGGGGAACTTTTTTTTTAAACGTATTTCACTTTATAATAACTTTGTTTGTACAATTTTTAAATGAATTTTCATAGAACCAGCATGGTGGCGATCACCTCATTACCTCATTCTCATTCATTATATATTACTATTATAACTATATAAAAATATTTTTAATGAATTATATTTCTAATATTTATTAAAGTTTAAAAGCCTTAATTTAACTTAATTTAACCTTAATTTAATTTCGCTATACTCAGATACAACATTTTTTTTTCAATTTGCAATATATAAACCACGGTCTATCTTAAAGAAAGTCTAGACGTTGACTTTGCCCGGTTTCAAGCAATCATAATTCGAGATGTCATCTTCAGACAGATCTATATTATAAAGTTCCTAATAGTGGCAAATCAAGGTATTGCCTCGTTGAATAAATTAATCTCAACTGAATATCTAAAAGAATAAATTTCCTGTTTATAACATTTATAAGCTAAAAGCAATTTTAGTGACATATCACGGATTTTTATAACTGAAAATGAGGGAAACGAAAGTGACCAATCTCCTTTGCGGCATTATTTGTTGCGAAAATAACAAATAAGTGTAAATTAAACGGTTGATCCCATGTAGGTATTTTTTGTATTACTATCAAGTACCTAACAGACATACGCTAAAGTATCACCTACCTATCATACAGAATAGAGCTTAAAAGTTCACATTCACAAAGTGAGCCAACACTACCACAATTGAAAGAAAATATAAACACAAAATATGTCATCACATGAACAACACCTTTAAACACTGTATTCATTACTTTAGATTTAAAAAAACGTTGCTTGAAGTAGTTACAAAGCAAAATTCCAGTCACCCAATCGTCAGTAAATAAATGAAATATGACGTGACGCGCGACAGGGCGCTTCTCGATATTGACCTAAACGATAGCCTACGGGGGCACCGATGGGCTGATACTACTGCTTCCTTCCAGCGGCGAATCTATACAAATAAATGTCTGTTTGTAATGTCAAAATAATAGCTGTTTTACTAAATGCATAATATGATAGTACATCCTCGCCTCCGCAGCTTCGTCTTGTTGGTCGCCTTCGGCGACCAGCCTCAGCCGCTCCGGCTCGTCAGATGCCTACGATTTGTTACAGCAGGCGGAGGCTACTCCCCCTACGCGCCTCCGGCTCTTTAAAACCACTCTAGGGGTAGGACAGACTCGTACCAGGTGGAGTCGGGGTCAATCAATTCGGTTCTTTGACATAAGTTGAACCTAACCTATTTTATTTGTTATCTGCCCTAATTTGTACTGTTAAAATAAAACAAATTTCAATAAGAGATCATTTATTATAGTATCTTTCTTGTTTTTCATAAAATGGAATTATATTTACATTATAAATGCAAACATAATATAGATATTTTAGAAATCGATTTTTTGTGAATCGATACATCAGCTTACGATTTGAATCGATTTAATAATCGACCTTTTTCGGAAAGAATCGACATCCCTACTGACGACAATGACATTACAAAATGGTGTCAGTTTTATGGTAGGATTAGATATAAACAATGCAAGAATAATTGATTTTCAATAACTTTTTTCTCAAAAATTACGCGTTTCCGCATGTTGTAACTTTGTGTGTGTGCTTATAATAGTGTAACTTTTCTTTTTTAAAAATACGTATCAACCCCCAACTCGACGGGAGTCAATGGAAAGCTAAGCCATTTTTAAAATTTTTGTCAATCTGTCTGTTTGTTCCGGCTAATCTCCAAAACGGTTGGACCGATTTTGACGGTACTCACTTACAAAGAGCTGATGTTATAAAAAGTAACTTAGGCTACTTTTATCTACGAAAAAGAATTAGCGTTTCGGCATTAAAAAGTACCCACGAAATCCAATCATAATTAACAAATTTTCCACGCGGGCGAAGTCGCGGGGGACAGCTACTTATAAACGATAAATATTGAGTATTTATTTAATTGACGTAATTATGCAAACTTGAGATTGTAGTGTTGTAAATAAATTATTTGAGATTGTATTATAAGTTATTACTAATAAATTACGTGCTTTGTTACGCTATATATTTTTTACGTGGTAGAACCATGCTGCAGCTATATTAATAGTATAGTTGTAGCACGAATGGGTCGGCTCGACCGGGGAAGGACCACGCTCTCACAGAATACCGGCGTAAAATAGCAGCTTAACACTGCTGTGTTTCGTATGGTGAGTGTAGAGAACCGGAGACCCTTTTTACTGGAAACGAGGCATTCTATCTTAGTCATCACGGCTGACAACGCGTCTGCATTTTAATTCGCAAACGAAGATAGAATTGATGTAGATATCTATGGGCCACACCAACCACGTATCATCAGGTGAACTGTGTGCTCGTTTGTCACACTAATTCTATAAAAAAAAAATATGAGCTATACAAATAAATAAAATTGAAATGTCTGTTTGTAATATCAAAATAACAACTTTATACTAAATGCATATGAAAGTATATACGGTACTTATAACAAA